CGCCTGGCCTAAATATCATGTATATAATTTAAAAGAACTATAAGCCTTTTTGCTGTGGACACTACAGCAACTTGAGTGACAAGACAACTATCCAAATGTTTGAATGGATACTTGTATCTTAAGAGAAAATAGCATCCTACATAGCTTCAAAAGTGCTGCATCCTCACAATTCAAAAAGGAGCAAAGACAGTGTGTTCCCCAAAACTGGGTCAGTGACAAAAGTGGCTAAGGTTGAAGAACAGGGTGACAAGTTTGAATAAAGTGCTTTCATGAGACATGAGAGTGCAACATTTTTTTCCACCTTTATATTGCATACAATATTCCTTTTTTTTTTCTTTTGAGACAGGGTCTCACTCTGTTGCCCAGGCTAGAGGGCAGTGGTGCGATCTCGGCTCACTGCAACCTCCGCCTCCTGGGTTCAAGCGATTCTCCTGCCTCAGCCTCCTGAGTAGCTGGGATTGCAGGCACGTGCCACCACGCCCAGCTAGTTTTTGTATTTTTAGTAGAGATGGGGTTTTGCCATGTTGGCCAAGTTGGTCTCGAACTCCTTACCTCACGCGATCCACCTGCCTTGGCGTCCCAAAGTGCTGGGATTACACATGTGTGCCATCACACCCGGCCCATTTTTTTTTTTAAACAGGATCACTCTGTGTCACACAGGCTGAAATGCAGTGGTGTGATCACAGTTCACTGCAGCCTCGAACTCCCAGACTTCAGCAATCATCCTACCTCAGCCTCCCAAGTAGCTGGAACTACAGGCGTTTTTCACCATGTCCAACTAACTTATATTTTTGGTAGAGACAGGATATCACCATGTTGCCCAGGATGGTCTCAAACTCTTGAGCTCAAAAGATCTGTGTGCCTTGGCTTCCCAAAGTGCTGGGATTACAGACATGAGCCACCTTGCCCAGCCAGCAATATGCCATTTTCAATATGTATGTGTAGTTAAATCCATACATTAAATATCACAAGTAGCGGAGAGATGCCTGGGTACTTCACGTTGACCCCAGAACATAGCTATGTTGGTTTTGGTGTGACAATGGCTCACTGTTGAAGCACCATCACTGTTAAGGGCATGGGTTTTTCTTCTGACAGACTTGGACAGTGACCACGGTGAGCATCCTGCCAGAGTACTTCTTCCCAGGCCTAAGTTTCTCATCCTGTCTGGTGAGTTTAATCATCATCTCACAAATTAGCAACAAACTCACACAGGAACAGAGCTGGGATCTTTCTGCTCACCGAGTGGATGGTGACCCTGCATGAACGCACAACCTTTTTGTGCCCCAGTTTCATCCTCTGTCCAGACTCCTGAGTCCAGCTCTCTCTTTGGTCAACCAGGCCTCTCAGCCTCCACAAGACAATTCCTCATGCACCCCCAGCACCATTCCCTGCCCCATTCCCCCATCTCAGAACAAAGCAGCCGGCACCAGGCTGCGAGCTCTCAGGTGGTCCTGGGCTCTTTCTCTCACGGCCACGGCCCCTCTATCCGGAAGTCCTATTGCTCCATCTTCAAAACAGATTCATAACCTGACCACTTCTCCCCACGGTGATGGCCCCTGCCCTGGTCCAGCCTCCACCCTCTCCTGCTTGGACCGTCGTGGCTGCTTCTTGTCTGGTCTCTGTAGCTCCCTCCTCACTGCCCCCATAGTCTGTCCCCAACACGGCCAGAGGAGCCTGGGAATGCCTGAGTCAGGTCACATCCCTCCCGTGCTCAGAACCCACCCGTGGCCCCATCTCACTCAGCGTAAAGGCCAAGTCCCTCCCTGTGGCCTGCAAACGCCCTGTAGGATCCATCTTTGTCACCTCCCTGACCTTGGCTCCTCCAATCTCCCCTGCAGTCTCCTCATCGTTCACTCACATCCTGCTTCTTGGGATTCTCTGAACTAGCCAAATACAGGCTCAAAACTAGTGGAAAACAAGGTCGTAACTAGCGGAATACAGGCTCCCTTCAGCACCTGTGCACTGACCATCCCTTTCCCGGAACACACTCTTCCCCCGAGGTGCTCTCCCTCTCTTCCTACAGGTCTTTGCTTAAATGTCACCTTCTCAGAAAGGCCTCCCCTGACCAAGACACCTGTTTAAATGTCTGAATGGATACTTGTGTCTTGAGAGAAAAATAGCATCCTACATAGCTTCAAAAGTGCTGCATCCTCACAATTCAAAAGAGCAAAAATGTCCTGAAAATGGATCAGTGAAAAGTGGAGGAAGAACGGTGTGACATGGAAAAATGGTTCATGAGGGGGGCGGGCTCACGCTGTACCCAGCACTTTGGGAGGCCAAAGTGGGCAGATCACGAGGTCAAGAGATCGAGACCATCCTGGCCAACATGGTGAAAGTCCGTCTCTACTAAAAATATAAAAAATTAGCCGGGCATGGTGGCGGGCGCCTGTAATCCCAGCTACTTGGGAGGCTGAGGCAGGAGAATTGCTTGAACCCAGGAGGCAGAGGTTGCAGTGAGCCAAGATCGCGCCATTGCACTCCAACCTGGTCAACAAGAGCGAAGCTCTGTCTCAAAAAAAAAAAAGGTTTCATGAAATATGAGAGTGGAACATTTTTTTCCACCTTTATATAATATATTGGTTTTTGTTTTGTTTTGTTTTGTTTTGTTTGAGATGGAGCCTTGCTCTGCAGATGGAGTACTGGAGTGCAGTGGTGCGACCTCGGCTCACTGCAGCCTCTGCCTCCCAGGTTCAAGTGAACGTTGTGCCTCAGCCTCCCGAGTAGCTGTGATTACAGGCGCGCCACCACACCCAGCTAATTTTTGTATTTTTAGTAGAGACGGGTTTCGTCATGTTGTCTGGGCTGATCTTGAACTCCTGACGTTGACTTCGACCTCCCAAAGTGCTGGGATTACAGACGTGAGCCACCGTGCCTGGCCTTTATATAATAGTTTGTATGCAATATGTCATTTGTGTTTCTTTTTTTGAGATGGAGCCTCTCTGTCACCCAGGCTGGAGTGCAGTGGTGCAATCTTGGCTCACTGCAACCTCCACCTCCCAGGTTCAAGCAGCTCTCATGCCTCAGCCTCCTGAGTAACTAGGAGTACAGGCACATGCCACCACGCCTGGCTAATTTTTGTATTTTTAGTAGAGAAGGGGTTTACATCAGCACCCCCTTTCCCAAACACATACACTGTTTCTGACTCCCCTTCCAGCCTAACTGTGTTCCAGGGTCCCACGGCCATCTTATATACTCGGTATGTGGCGTCTCCATCTCGTCCATCATCTCCCTCCCTGCAACAGGGAATCAACTCAGTGAACATTTACTTTGACACAAGCTGACAAACAAGGGCCAGCAGGGTCTTGGGGTGGGTGTCATGACATCAACCACAGAAAGCACTTGGCTTCAAGTGAGCTGTTATCATATCTGAGCCACGTCCTGGAATAATGGTGACTCTCTGGGAAGAAGGTTTATTCTGAGCCCGGAGTCTCCCTATGTTGCCCAGGCTGGTCCTGAACTCATGGGCTCAAGCGATCTCCCACCTTGGCCTCCCCGAGTGCTGGGATCACAGGACTCCTCCTCTTGGAAGAAGGAGGCCTCCCCTGCCCTCTGCCTCCCAGCAGCCCCAGGCGGGAACACCTGGCCCACCTGAGAACTCTGAATCTAAAGCGAGTTGTTCCTCCCTCTGGTGGTAGCTTTCGGGGCTGCAGGTGCCAAACTGCCAGGTGCAGGGAGAAACACTAGAACACTTATTTATGTTCAATGTTACCCCTCTGGTTTTTTTTTGAGATGGAGTCTCGCTCTGTCACCCAGGCTGGAATGCAGTGGCACAATCTCGACTCACTACAACCTTCGCCTCCCGGGTTCAAGCGATTCTCCTGCTTCAGCCTCCCGAGTAGCTGGGGTTACAGGCGCCACCACGCCCGGCTAATTTTTGTATTTTTAATAGAGACGAGATTTCATGATGTTGGACAGGCTGGTCTCGAACTCCTGACCTCGTGATCTGCCCACCTCAGCGTCCCAAAGTGCTGGGATTACAGGTGTGAGCCACTGTGTCCAGCCACCTGTTTTGTAATTCAGGGTTCTGAGGTGTGATCTAGAGCTTGAATGAATACTGTTGTAGTGCATCATGTAATTTCTATACATATTCATAAAACAGGTAGAGGCAGCAACATTTTGTTGTTGTTTTGATTTGTTTTTTGTTTCTTTCAAACCAGGTCTCCCTGGCTACAGTACAGTGGCACTATCACGGCTCACTGTAGTCTTGACTTCCTGAACTCAAGCAGTCCCTCCACCTCAGCCTCCTGAGTAGATGGCACTACAGACACACACTACCCTGCCCAGCTAATTTTGGTATTTCTTGTAGAGACAGGGTCTCCCCTATGTTGCCCAGGCTGGTCCCGAACTCCTAGGCTCAAGTGATCTCTCGCTTTGGCCTCCCAAAGTGCTGGGATTACAGGTGTGAGCCACTGTGCCCAGCCCATCAAGATTTTTTTACTGTTAGGGTTTGTGAGACTCTCCAACAATGTGAGCCATCCTTGCTTGAATGCCCCAGGGAGAGGCCCTCGGCTAAGCACCTGACATGTCCGAGCCATGTTTATAATTGGGCAAAGCACAAAAAAAGTATAAAAAGGTGCCCCTTCCTTAAGGCAGACATCTACTTGTTGGACGCCTGTCATAGTGTATGGATTTTCTTAGATGAAGTCACTTTGGAAACACCCTCATAACCAGTGTGAAATCTGGGGTGCCTATAGTGCACACAGAGTCCCTTCAGCCATGGGCTCCTTTCACATCACACACGGGATGGCCCTGAGAGGAGGTCACTGCCACTTCACTGCAGACCTGAGAGGGCAAACCGTGTTTGACAGAAGGGGAAACTGAGGCAGAGAAGACCTGACTCACTGCAGGTCATGCAGCAAGGACGCAGTAGGCCAAGCCCTGGCCCTGCATTGCTGGAGTCCCTGCCTGAGCTCTTGGGCACGCAGCTCTGCTCCTCCGCTGAGGACACCATGCCTGTTCCACCCGCCCATCCTCTTCCCAGGATGCTCGCATCCGCCTACCTGCGTGTAGCAGCGCAGGAGCAGCCCCTTGTCCTTCAGCAGGCGCATAAAGTAGTGACAGATGGTCGGCTGCAGGGAAGAACGACAGCACTGCTGATCATTGCAGGGAACAGCCACAGGCCACTACCATGCGCCAGGAACTGTTCTAGGCACTGTGACTGTCTTACCCCCAGGGAATAAGCAAAGCAGCCGTGTTGGGGAGAGACCACCACTATCCCCAGATCACAGATGAGGAAACTGAAGGACAGGGAAGGGGACTGTGTCGCCAAAGTCACATGGTGGGTAAGCTGCAAAGCTGCGATTCGCACCCAGGCAGCCTGGCTGCAGGGTCCCGGGCTCTCCACCGCATCATGGGTGCAGCTAAGCCTCGCAGCAGCCCTCTTCAGACAGTGCCATCAGCTTCGCTTCACAGGAGGCAAATCGGAGGCTCAAGGTCGTAAGATGAAGACATGAGGAACCAGGACACGAATGCAGGCAGTCTGGGCCCAGCACCCATGTACTTAATGGCTACATAATATTTGTCTGCAGGGCCCTGGGGGCGCTTCCCATGCGTGCCCTCCCCCAACCTTTCCTGTTTTGCCCCCTGCAAAAAAAAGATCTCACCTTGAACTGCCCAGGATAGAGCTCCTTGGCGAGGGCGAAGAAGGGTTCCGGATGTTTCTGTAGGAGAGACAGCCAGAGGGCCAGATGCCCCAGGTAGGACGAGGGTTGGAGCCAGGTGACCCCCATCCCACCCCTCACAGACGCCCCTTCCTGGGGGAACACAAACCTTGAAATAGCTGATCTCGAAGATGGCCTCTGGGTAGGGAAGATGGTACTTCTCTAGGTTGTCATAGAGGCCAGTGGATGGAGAGCGAAAGTCGGGAATGCCCGCAGCTGGGAGAGGGGGGTCAGGGAGCAGTTGGTCTATACCCTACTAACTCTCCCAGGACAGGCCTCAGACAGGGCTCCTCCCCAGCCCTTGGGAGGGACTCCCCAATTCCTGGGGGTGGTTGCTGGGGAGTAGGGTTACTTACATGTGGAGATTCCAGCACCCACCAAACAGATGACTCTGCGACCTGGAGGAGAGGAACTTATGCACCATATGACACTGTTTGCTCAGTCCCTATAATAGCACCACCCATCACGGCCCCTGACACCGTTTACTCCATGCCAGGCCCTGGGCAAGCATCTCAGATGCATGATGGGCCTTCCAATCATCTAGAGAGGGATGGTGTTAACATCCCCATTCTATAAACGAGCAAATTGGGGCTCAGATAGGGGAAGAAGTCACACAATGGACTGCGGAAGAGCCAGCCAGAGGATAAAGAATCCAGTGTATGGCTGGGTGCGGTGGCTCATGCCTGTAATCCCAGAACTTTGGGAGGCTGAGGTAGGCGGGTCACCTGAGGTCAGGAGTTTGAGAGCAGCCTGGCCAACATGGCGAAAACCCGTCTCTACTGAAAATACAAAATTAGCTGGGAGTGGTGGCACGTGCCTGTAATCCCAGCTACTTGGGAGGCTGAGGCAGGAGAATCACTTGAACCCAGGAGGTGGAGGTTGCAGTGAGCCAAGATCATGCCATTGCACTCCAGCCTGGGTGACAGAGCAAGACTCCATCTCAAAAAAAGGGGGAAAAAAAAAGAATCCACTGTTGGAAATTATACCAACTTAGACTTGAGAAAAGGCCACTTGAGGATAAGAGCCCAGGGCTAAACAGAAATAGCTGGTGGCTGGTGATTAGCCACCAGGCCATAGTACTCTGGCATCTGCCCGTCAGCTGATAGACAGGCACAAGTGTGACATGCTGTGGGTCAGATGCCTCTGGGATACCCTGTCCAAGGGAGGACAGCAAAGGTGAACAGAGCACAAAGCCTGCCACAGCTTCAGCCCTGAGCTTTAACTCTGAGATGCCATCGGGCCAGGCCTGGTTGAATCCAGTGGTGGCTATATATGGTCTGGATTCAGGGGACCTGGGGTCAAATCCTGCCTCTGCCACTTGGCAGCTGTTTGACCCTGCACTGAGTCACTACCTTTTTGTGCCTCCGTTTCCTCCTGTGTCCAGATCACTTCCATAATGGTCTTATGGGCATAATGTGAAGATCAAATAATAGGACACTTGTAAAGTGCTGAGCCCAGTGCCTGGCAAATAGTGAAGGCTCAATTAAGTAGTTAAAAAGAAATTTTTAGGGCTGGGCCTGGTGGCTCACACCTGTAATCCCAGCACTTTGGGAGGCCGAAGGGGGTCAGATCACCTGAGGTCAGAAGTTCAAGACCAGCCTGGCCAATATGCTGAAACCCTGCCTCTACTAAAAGTACAAAAATTAGCTGGGCGTGGTGGCAGGCGCCTGTAGTCCCAGCTACTTGGGAGACTAAAGCAGGAGAATTGCTTGAACCTGGGAGGCGAAGGTTGCAGTGGGTCAAGATAGCGCCACTGCATTCCAGCCTGGGCAACAGAGTGAGACTCTGTCTCAAAAAAATAAATACATAAATAAATAAAGCTTTAGAGCGGTTAGGTGAGGGTTGGAGCCTCACCTTTATATTTTTGCAGAGAAGGGGTCTTGCTTGTTGCCCCAGCTGGTCTTGACCTCCTGGCCTCAAGCGATCTTCCTGCTTTCTACCTCCCCAAATGCTGGGATTATAGGCCTGAACCACCACGCCCAGCCTCAATTAATTGTTATTGTTCATTACTATCTCCTCATGGGCACCCTCATGAGCCAATTACCCCAGAATCCAGGAGCAGGAGGACACAAGGAACAAATGCTTTGTAGCCACTGCCTGTGTTGTCTTTGGGGCCTGCCCATGCTAAAAGATGGCTGCAGACAGCTGCTCGCCTGCCGCAGGAGAGGGAGGCTCAGGGCAGCAGGCCTGGCTGCCCGAGGAGAGAGATGGTGGCAGCTGGAGGACAGGGACACTGGAGAAGACGTCCTCAACAAAAGGCTGCTCAGGAACCACAAAGGGTCGATTGTTCTAGTTGAGGACTGCTGAGGGCCTGGTTTCTCAGACTTCGGTGACCTCAACTCGTGGCAAGAAATATAAATTTCAGGCCAGGCGGGGTGGTTCACGCGTGTAATCCTAGCACTTTGGGAGGCTGAGGAGGGTGGATTGCCTGAGCTCAGGAGTTTGAGACCAGCCTGGGCAACATGGTGAAACCCCGTCTCTACTGAAATAAAAAAATTAGCCAGGCGTGGTGGTGTGCTTCTGTAATCCCAGCTACTTGGGAGGTTGAGGCAGGAGAATTGCTGGAACCCAGGAGGCGGAGGTTGCAGTGAGCTGAGATTGTGCCACTCCACTGCACTCCAGCCTGGGCAACAAAGCAAGACTCCATCTCAAAAAAAAAAAAAAAAAAAGAAATATAAATTTCATGGTGACTCAGTAAGTAGACACCTATCCACCATATCTGAAACAAGCCTCCTGTAGTAATAACCACGGCACACGCTGCCACAGCTCTCGCTATGTTCCAGACTCTGCTCTAAGCATTTGCATTTTTATTAATTTATTTTTAAAATTTTATTTATTTATTTATTTTTTAGAGTCAGGGTCTCACTGTGTTGCCCAGGCTGCAGTGCAGTGGTGCCATCATAGCTCACTGCAGCCTCCAACTCCTGGGCTCAAACAATCCTCCCTTCTCAGCCTCCTGAGTAGCTAAGACTACAGGCAACGCCCCCACATCTGGCTATTTTTTTTCTTGTAGAGATGGGGGGGTCTCACTATGTTGCCCAAGCTGGTCTTGAATGCCTGGTGTTGAGTGATTCTCCCGCGATGGCCTCCCAAAGTGCTGAGATTACATACATGAGCCACTGCACCTGGTCCTATATTAATTTATTTAGTCCCCCAATAACCTTATGAGTTAGATACCATAATCATTATCCCCATTTTATGAAACAGGCCTGGTCAGTCAGCGTACAGTAATTCACTCAGCAATGGAGAAGCGACCCAGGTCTGGCCAATCGGAGACTTGGGGGCAGGCACGTGACTCAACCTGGCTCAGTGGGAGCGAATCTCTGCTGTTTGGTTTGAACTACTGGGAAAAGGTGCTCTCTCGGTGGCAGCTCCTAGGTTGGTGGAACCTGCATTTGGAACTGCCAGGAGTTACCTTTACCCCGACACAAGAAAAGCAGCATCAGAGAGAGTTACGATTTTTAACAAAGTGGAAGCACCTAGGCCCAGCCGTGCTTCAAGCTGGATTAGAGCCAACACACTCCTCTTTGGCTTAAGCCGGTTCCAGTTGTGTTTCTTGCTACTTGTAAAGAAAAGGTTTCAATACATGGTTCAAGTGGCTGGGGATGGGAGGTCACTTGAGGCCAGGAGCTGGGCACAGTGGCCCAATCCTGACAGGGGACTCACAGCGTTCGCTCTGCATGTACCGGGCCACCCCTTCCAAGGTCAGTTCGTCCAGCAGACGCTCCTTCTGGCTGCCCAGGCTGAGCGTCTGGGAGAATAAGTTCCGCAGGAAGTCCACTGGCCAGAGAGAAGAGACACAGCAGCAGGACCGGGCATTCAGCCAGGGGGCATGGATGTCTCCAGCACCCTGGCCCCAGCCCTGGGGTCCCCGGCCTCCCCACATCTAAAGGCACGAGGCCTGGCCCAGCCAGGAGCCTCCAGGAGCCTGCTCTGGCACTGGTACCCGACCCACTGTTACATACTTTGAATGTCACTCCTGATGGAGTTGAGGAGGTATCACCCACACTGCTGCCCTGAAATCCCCCCGCCCCCCAGAACCCTGCTCCCCATCCTTCGAGGAAGATACTCACTGTCTGCTTCTCCACCAGCGGCTCCTCCCTCAGAGTCTGAATCTGAGTCCTGGAAGGGGTGAGGTGGGGTGGCCAGGCCCGAGAGGTGGGATTAGGGAGGGAGGGGAGGGGGTGATACCAGGTTTGGGGAAAAGGCTGTGGCAGGAAGGTGGCCTGAGGAAGTGTGGGGTGGTGGAGAGACTGCACTGGGGCTAGCTCGAGGGCTCTGGGACAGGCTGCCTGGGTTGGAGTCCTGGCCATGCCAGTCCCCAGGAGCACAACCTCATGGGAGTGGCTTCGCTTTTCTTTTCTTTCTTTCTTTCTTTTTTTTTTTTGAGACAGTGTCTCGCTCTGTCACCCAGGCTGGGGTGCACTGGCGCAGTCACAGCTCACTGCAGCCTCAACCTCCCAAGTTCAAGGGATCCTCCTACCTCAGCCTCCCAAGTAGCTGGGACCACAGGCGCATGCACTATGCCAGGCTAATCTTGTTTTGTTTGTGTTTTTGTAGAGACAAGGTCTCCCTGTGTTGCCCAGGGTGGCCTTGAACTCCTGGGCTCAAGCAAGTCTCCTGCCTCGGCCTCCTAAAGTGCTGAGATTACAGGCGTGTGCCACTGTGCCTGGCTGTGACTCTGATTTTCTAAGTCTGGGTGTCCCTCACCTTGGAAAGGGAGTGTGGGTGCTGGGTGCGGCACCAGGAGCGGGGAAGGTGCTCGGTAAGCGCTGGCTGTTGCTGTTAATATTATCACAGCCTGGGGTCTTCCCTTTGTCCCTGGGTGCCCTGGAGCATGGGCCTGCTGTCCCTTCCCAGCAGCTCTGGGGACCTCTGAATAATGTCCCAAGTCGCTCTGGGAATGATTCCAATGCAAAGCCTCAGTGCTCACTGCAAGGACCTATGTGCCCCCTCCTGCTCCAGGCCCCAGACACTCTCTGCCAACCTCTCCAGCAACCTTTGAGTCCTTCCTCAAAGCCTGCCCTCAGCCCAGCTCTGGACTGGCAGGTCTCTGGGACTCTGTCCAGGGCCTCTCTGCTTTCTTTTTCCAGCTTCCTGGGGCTACCTGCCTCATCCATGCCAATGGCCTCTGCCTCGTCACTCATGACACCATCTCTCTGCCCCCAGATCTGGGGTTCCCTGGCTTCTTGGACACCTTGCCCTAGGTGCCCCCCAGCCTCTCACTCCTACCATGTCCCAAACGGATCCTGGCATCTCCCCCAAACCCATCTTCCTCCCAGGCCTCATCTCAACGTGATCGTCCTGTCCCCCAGTCAGCCAGATGTTTTGTGCCCCCGCCTCCCTCCTCACCCTCCGGCTGCAGTGCTTCAGGTCCAAAGCACGTACGCTTAGTCTCCTAAGGGGCTGTCCGCCAACTCCTTTTCCCTCCCCGGGGCTCCACCTGGTCCAGCCTGTCCTCTCCTCCGGGGGTCCTGCCCCAGCCTCCTCCCCCAGCCTCTCAGCCTCAATCTCCACCTCCCATTCACCCTGCTGCCCTGCATGTGAGGCTGTCTGGGTCAGCTCGCCCCGCTCCACTTGAAAGGCCCTTCTCTCTGGCTTCTCCAGTTTTCCCGGACATCTATGGAATTGCCAGGATGTCCACAAGGGCAGGGACTTTGCCTGGGTGCCCAGCACTGAGAACAGGGTCTGGCTCCTGGCAGGAGCTCCAGGAGCTCCTCCACCTCGGAATGAATGCCTGCTTCAGGCTGGACCACGGCTGGGCCCTGCAAGAGATTTCACCAAAATGCAGTTCTGACCAAGCCACCACCTCAGACAACCCCTTCCCCGGCCACTCACTGCTCTGCGTCCAAGCCTTTTTGAATAAGACCCTCCTTTCCAAACATATGACAATTTAAAAAATTGCTTTTTAAGACTGTGCAACTCCAGATGGGCGTGGTGGCTCATGCCTGTAATCCCAACACTTTGGGAGGCTGAGGCAGGAAGATTGCTTGAGGCCAGGAGTTCAAGACCAGCCTGGGCAACACAGTGAGACTTTGTCTCTATCTAAAAAGAGAGAGAGAGGCCGAGCGTGGTGGCTCAGGCCTGTAATCCCAGCACTTTGGGAGGCTGAGGCGGGTGGATCACGAGGTCAGGAGATCGAGACCATCCTGGCCAACACGGTGAAACCCCATCTCTACTAAAATACAAAAAATTAGGCAGGCGTGGTGGCAGGCGCCTGTAGTCCCAGTTACTCAGGAGGCTGAGGCAGGACAATTGCTTGAACCCGGGAAGCGGAGGTTGAAGTAAGCCAAGATGGCGCCACTGCACTCCAGCCTGGTGACAGAGTGAGACTCCGTCTCAAAAAAAGAGAGAGAGAAAAAAGAGAGTGAAAATGAGAGAGAGAGAGAGAGAGAGAGAGATTGGACAACCTCTGCAAAAACCTTGACCACACTCGCGCGTACTTCAACAACATATGACTTGGGGCACATGCCTTGTAATTACCCAAGCCCACCCTTATAAAGATAACCACTGTTAGCTAAGCTTAATGGTAATTACTCCAGTTTCCTCTGCATAAAACTAATTATTTCTACAGAAATAGGTCATAGTACAACATCTTGAGTTTTCTGCAGAACGATATGCTACAGACCTACCTAATTTTAAAGATAATTTTTAAAAAAGAGACGGCATTTTGCTATGTCGCCCAGGCTGGTCTCGAACTCCTGGGCTCAAGTGATCCTCCTGCCTCCCAAAGTGCTGGGATTACAGGTGTGAGCCACCGTGCCCAGCCTCACCTCATTTTTCAGAGCAGCTACATAGTATTGGATTGTATGGATGAACCATAGTTCATTTAACCCATCCACTAACAGCCATTTGGACTGTCTCCAGTTTTGCCCTGTGACGGACAATGCTGCATTTTACATCCTCGCATCTCTCTCTTTGGGACTGAGGATCCTTTTTAACATTCAACCTTTTTATCTGACGTTGGTCGTGCTTTGGGGGCCAGGCGAGTGAGTTGCCACAGCCTAACAGGAGGCTCTTATATCCTCAGCAAGGCTCCACTGTGCATTTGTGAGGTATTCTGATGCCCGCTTCTGCACCACCCCACGTCTGAAAGGCAATCTTGGGGGTGTGGGTGGGCTGGCACTCTTGCAGGCTGTACAGAGTGAGGCTGTGTGGAAGGCCTGTGCCCAGCATGTATCGGCAGCTTGGCCTAAGGGAGAGCTGGAGGTGCTGATGGGGGGCCTTCAAACTCCTGTGAGACTGCCTGTCCACCTCTCCTGGCAGCCTCTGGCAGGCGGTGTGCCCAGTGCTGGGGGACTCAAACCTTTCCCTGCTCCTCTAGCCGAGGGACAGGGGACAAGTGACTTAACACCTCTGTTTCAAATTCTGCCTCTGTAAAATGGCCATGATAGGCATTTCTCTTCACAGGGATGCCAGGAAGATGAAGTGAGATGAGGCAAGTTTGGCACTAAACAGTGTGCACAGCTGGAGTAAGCCATCAGTAAATGTTAACCGTGACTATAACGAGCTGACCCCTACCAGCCACCCAGTTACGGAACACATCACACTCCTTCATGCCCCCAGGTCTTTGCACAAGCGATACCTGTCGTGTGGATCACCTTTTCTCACCTTGTCTAAGAAAATTCTAAGTCACTCTTCACTTATACTGTGTCTGTATCTTGGTCTGACAGCTAGACCAGCCTGTGGATTCCTCCAGGGAATGGCCTGGCTGGAATCTTCTTTGACCCAGAAAGTTTTTCTCTGTACTCCCACAGTGCCCTGAGTTTCTTTACTTTTCTTCCCTTTTTTTTTTTTTGAGACCGTGTCTTGCTCTGTCGCCCAGGCTGGAGAGCAGTGGCACAATCATGGCATGCTACGGCCTTAAACTCCTGGGCTTAAGCAATCCTTCCCCAACTCAGCCTCATGAGTAGCTGGCACTACAGGCATGTACCACTGCACATGGCTAACTTTTAGATTTTTTGGGGCCTCCCTACGTTGCCCAGACTGGTCTGGAACTTCTAGGCTCAAGCGATCCTCCTACCTCAGCCTCCCAAAGTACTGGTATTACAAGCATGAGCCACTGTGTCTGGCCTGAGTTACTTTCTTTCTTTTTTACTTTTTAGAGAAAGGGTCTTGCTGTTTTACCCTGGAGTGCAACGATGCAATCATAGCTCACTGCAGCCTCAAACTCCTGGGCTCAAGCGATCCTCACGCCTCAGCCTCCTGAGTTATTGGAATTACGGGCATAAGCCACTGCACCTGGCCCCCTGAGTTACTTTTATCATCACACTGTGAGATAATTTTTTCCCATCACTTGTCCACGAGATCTGTGCGTTCCAAGACCAAATGGGATACCTGTCTCTTCCAGGCCCAGGACAAATTTGGTTCAGAAGGGATGGCAGGCAGTGGCGAGGAAGGAGGAAAGTTTGGGAGGGCAGGCCTGGACTTGAGGCTGGAAACGCTTCTCTGACAATCCCCAGAATCCGCCTTTCCCCAGAAAGCTGCACTGGGTGGTGTGAGGGATTGGGGCAATGAGCCGAGGGCCGTGGGGTGACTGTCTCCCCTTTGCCACCTCCCCCCCTGCGGGCTGTGGAACAAGTCCATCTCTCTCCTCCCCTCCACCCTTTCGCCCATCTCACCTGAGCCTCCTGCACCTTCCCTGCCTGGGTCTCCAGAGGGTGAGAGGCTGAGGGAGGGGAGCAGAGGTGGTTACAGTGGGGAGAATGATTAAGTGGGGAATAAAGGGATTCAAATGGTCAGTGAGGGGCCAGAACACCCACCAACCGAGTTACACTGGGATGGGATGGTGGTAAAAATGGAGCACGGGGAGGGAGGGGGCGGAGAAAAAATCTTATCAGCATGCAAAGTGATGCCAGGAGAGGTGATTAGTGAGGGGCAGAGAGGCTGGAGAGGAAGATTTAGAAGGAGAGGGAGAAAGTAGGGGCTTTTGCCCAGGCTGATCTTGAACTCCTGGGCTCAAGCGATCCAACCACCTTGGCCTCTCAAAGTACTGGGGTTACAAGCATGAGCCATTGTGTCTGGCCCTGACTTACTTTCTTTCTTTTTTACTTTTTAGAGAAAGGGTCTCGCTCATGTCACCCAGGCTGGAGTGCAATGGTGCGATCATAGCTCACTGCAGCCTCAAACTCCTGGGCTCAAGCGATCCTCCTCCTCCTACCTAAGGGATTCAGGGCATGAAGGAACACTCAGGAGGAGTTAGGAAGGACACGACAGTGTGTCAGTGTGTGTGCGGGAAGGGTTAGATTTACAAGGCAGAGGGAAGTTTAGAAAGGAAGAGAGAAGGGAAGGGACGCTTTGGCTGGGAGGCAGGTTTAGGAGGGAGGTGCAGTGGTGCAGTGGAGGCGGTAGGTTTAGGAGAGGCGCGGAACAAGGGGAAGCCATAGAAGGGGACAGCAGGGGTCCCTCAGCATCCTCTGGTTGCCTCTAACAATCAGGTACCCTTAGCAGCCGGGACCGGGGCAACTTATGTTCTTTGCAGCGAGGGTCCTTAGCAACCAAGGTGTGAGAAACACGCGATCATTGGCAACTTGGCAAGTGGATGTGGTAAACGAACCCTGAACACCCTGCGACCCAGAAACCCACCAGCCTGGCGATATAGATCGCTTAGCAACAACCCTCAGAACCCCACTCCCCGAGGCGCTCCCTACTTCCCGCCCCACTGCGGCCGCCCTTGGGCCCCGGGGCCTGCAGCCTTCAATCAGGCCCCGGCGCGGCCCGACCCTCCCACCCGGATTCCCGACTCACGGTCCGGCTCTGCCATGGGCGCGGTGCTGAAGCCCTCGAGGCTGTCACCGACCGCTCTGTCCCGTCACCGACCACTGTGTCCCGTCACCGACGGCTCTGTCCTGTCACCGACTGCTCTGTCCCGTGACGGCACCAGAAATGGGAGTGGCCGGGATAGGGCACTGAACTACAACTCCCAGCAGACATTGCGGCCGCAGACGCGCTTTCCTACGACACCCGGAGCGCCCCAGTTAGGTAAGAAAGCGCGCGAGGACCGGACTACGAGTCCCAGAAGTCATGGCGTCAGCAGCCATGTTGGTAAAGGGCGCCCGGAAAATGTGGGAACGGCTAGAGAGTCGTAGTCCTCTCGAATACTCTGATTGGTCAGCATGCGGCACGGGGGCGGGGTGTGAGCGATTCAGCATATTATCATTGGATGAATCAGGGGGCGTGGTGGGGAATTTCCCGCAGGGCGGAAGCGCCAGAACTCCCGGCAAAGCCCAGCTACAGGCGGGCCACTGCGAGGGGCCCCTGAGGTGGCGGGGGCCATGGCTGGGGTCGCGTGCTTGGGAAAAGCTGCCGACGCAGATGAATGGTGCGACAGCGGCCTCGGCTCCCTGGGTCCGGACGCAGCGGCCCCCGGAGGACCGGGATTGGGCGCGGAGCTGGGCCCGGGGCTGTCGTGGGCTCCCCTCGTCTTCGGCTACGTCACTGAGGATGGGGACACGTGAGTGAACTTTAGGCTGCCAAACGGAGCCTTAGGACCCGGCATCTGATTCCCCATTAGTGTCTGATCCCTGAGGCTTCCTAACCTCACACTCCTAAATCTGACTTCCGATGCTGAACTTCCTGACCTCTAACCCCCGAGTCCTAACTTTTAACAAAACCAATCTTCTATCCAGCTATGATCCTCACCCAATCATTTCTGACCTTTTCCTGAACTATGATTCTCAGCTCCTGGAATCCACGTTGTATCCACTGATACCCAAACCTGACTCCAGTCCTGAGACTTTTGTTAGAACTGTGGCTTCTCCTGACTTCTAACCTCCAAATATGATCTTTGATTCTTAGTTCCTGATTTGAGCCTTAAAGTTTGATTTCCAAAATTAATGCTTGGTCCCTTACTCTAAGATCCTGTCATCTGAGCAGTGTTCTTCAAATCTTAAATTCAAAGAGAGAGAATGTAAGCTCTTCTATGTTAAATTCCTAATTAAAGTAAAAAAAAAAAAAAAAAAGGAAAATAGAAAAAAAGAATGTAAGCTCCACGAGACCAAGGATCCATCTGTTAAACAAATATTCTTTACACAGTACAACATTCCAGGCTCCGTTTTAGGTGCTAGTGATAAAGGCAGTGGAGAAAACAGACAAAAACTTAAGCGCTTGTGGAGCATACATTTTAGTGGAGCTAACTAAACAGATAAGACCGCAAGGAAGGAAAGAAACAGAAAGACAGGAAGAAACAAAGAAAGACACGCAGAAAGAAAGAAACATAGAAAGTAAGAGAAGGAAATAAAGTCAGAGGTAGTAAGTACTTTGGAGAAAAATAAAGCAGGAAAATGAGGCAATAGATAAACAGGATAAGAGCATTTCAGGGAGAAGGAACTGCAGTTGCAAAGCCCAGATGAGGGACTGTACTGGGTTTTTTGTCTGTTGTGTTTTCTGCTGTATGCCCACTGATGCAAGCAGTGCCTGACCCAGGAGGCACTGAAGAAATATTTATCTTTTCAAAGAACCAGCTTTATAATCTTGTTAATTTTCATTACATTTCATTACTTAATTTTGGTTTCTTTTCTTTTTTTTTTTTTACTTTTTATTTAATTAGTCTCTGTCCTGGCTTTTTTTTTTGAGACAGAGTCTCGCTCTGTCGCCCAGGCTGGAGTGCAGTGGCCGGATCTCAGCTCACTGCAAGCTCCGCCTGCCGGGTTTAAGCCATTCTCCTGCCTCAGCCTCCCGAGTAGCTGGGACTACAGGTGCCCGCCACCTCGCCTGGCTAGTTTTTTTTTTTTTTAGTAGAGACAGGGTTTCACTGTGTTAGCCAGGATGGTTTCGATCTCTTGACCTCATGATCCGCCATCTCGGCCTCCCAAAGTGCTGGGATTACAGGCTTGAGCCACCGCACCCGGCCGGTTTTTTTGTTTTGTTTTGTTTTGTTTTTTGAAATGGAGTTTCACTCTGTCGCCCAGGCTGGAGTGCAGTGGCACCATGTTGACTCACTGCAACCTCCATCTCCTGGGTTCAAGCAATTCTCCTGCCTCAACCTCCCCAGTAGCTGGGATTACAGGTGCCCACCACCATGCCTGGCTAATTTTTGTGTTTTTAGTAGAGATGGGGTTTCACCATGTTGGCCAGGCTGGTCTCAAACTCCGCCCCGTGATCTCCTGCCTCAGCTCCAAATGCTGGGATTCAGGCATGACCACCATGCCTGCTATTTTTGTGTTTTTTGGATTGGTTTAATGTTCCTTCTTTTGAACTGACCCGTGTTGCCTGCTAGTCAGTGGGGATTCGGCTCACTGCAGCTCGCTCTGGTTAGCATTCTCTGCTACTTGTGCTTAAGCCACCCTTTTTTTTTTTTTAGTTTTTTTCTTACTTTGTGCCTGTAAGTGTTCTTAAGTTTTCTTTTTGTAGTTTCTTAAGGTGAAAGTTGAGATCATTGATTTGAGACCTTTCTTTTTTCCTCTTTTCCAGTATAGGTATTGAGTGCTATAAATTTGCTCCTGACTATTGTTTAGCAATATTGTTTTAGCAATATCGCTCAAATTCTGGTATGTTGTGTTTTTATTTTCATTTAATTCAGTATGCTTTATTATTTTTTTGAGTTGGAGTCCACTCTGTTCCCCAGGCTGGAGTGCAGTGGCACAGTTTCCGTTCACTGCAACCTTGTCCTCCTGGGTTCAAGTGATTCTCTTGCCTCAGCCTCCCGAGTAGTTGGGATTACAGGGGGGTGCCACCACCCCCAGATAAGTTTTGTAATTTTTTTGGTAGAGACAGGGTTTCACCATGTTGGCCAGGCTGGTCTCAAACTCCTTACCTCAAATGATCTGCCCACCTTGGCCTCCCAAAGTGCTGGGATTACAGGCATGAGCCACCACACCCGGCCTAATTCAGTATTTTTTTTCTTTTTCTTTTTTTTTTGAGACTGGAGTCTTGCTCTGTCACCAAAGCTGTAGTACAGTGGAATGATCTCAGCTTGCTGCAACCTCTGCCTCCCAGGTTCAAGCAATTCTCATGTTTCAGCCTTCCGCGTAGCAGGGATTACAGGCATGCACCACCACATCCGGCTAATTTTTGTGCTTTTAGCAGAGATGGGATTTCACCATGTTGGCCAGGCTGGTCTGGAACTCCTGACTTAAAGTGATCCACCCACCTCGGCCTCCCAACGTGCTGGGATTACAGGTGTGAGCCACCACACCCGGCCTAAAAATATTTGTATTTCTGTCTGTCTGTCTATCTATCTATCATCTGTCTCTCTCTCTCTCTCTCTCTCTCTCTATCTCTATCTATCTCTGTCTATCTCTATCTATCTATCTACCTACCTACCTGCCTGCCTGCCTGCCTGCCTGCCTATTGACAGGGTCTTACCTAGGCTGGATACAGTGTCTCAATCATGGCTTACTGCAGTCTTGAACTCCTACCAAGCCATCCCCCTACCCCAGCCTCCCAAGTAGCTAGGACTACAGGTTTGCTCCACCATGTCTGGGTAATTTATTTATATCTAAAGGGTGTTTCTTGTAGACCATGTATAATTAGGTTTTGCTTTCTTTTTAATAGAGACAGGATCTTGCTATGTTGCCCAGGCTTATCTTGAATGCCTGGGCTCAAGCAATCCATCTGCCTCAGCCTCCTAAAGTGCTAGGATTATAGGCATGAGCCACCACCCCTGGCCTTTGCTTTTTTATTCAATCTAACAATCTCTACCCTTTTTTTTTTTTGAGGCAAGGTCTTGCTCTGTCACCCAGGCTGGAGTGCAGTGGCATGATCATGGCTTACTGTAGCCACGACCTCCTGGCTCAAGTGATCCTTGCACCTCAGCCTCCTGAGTAGCTAGGACCACAGGCACATGCCACCATGCCTGGCAAACTTTTAAATTTTTTTGTAGAGACAGGGTCCCCCTGTGTTCTCAAACTCTTTTTTTTTTTTTTTTTTTTTGAGACACAGTCTCATTCTGTCACCCAGGCTAGAGTGTAGTGGCACTGTCTCTGCTTGCTGAAACCTCTGCCTCCGGGGTTCAAGCAGTTCTACTGCCTCAGCCTCCTAAATTTGGGATTACAGGCGTGTGCCACCACACCTGGCTAATTTTTGTATTTTTAGTAGCAACAGCAGTTTCACCATGTTGGCCAGGCTGGTCTCGAACTCCTGACCTCAGGTGATCCACCCGCTGTGGCCTCTCAGAGTGCTGGGATTACAGGTGTGAGCCGCTGTGTGCAGCCGTGGTCTTAAACTCTTGAGCTCAAGCAATCTTCCCACCTTGGTCTCCCAAAGTGCTGGATTACAAGGATGAACCACTGTGCCCAGCCAGTCTCTGCCTTTTAATTAGTGTTTAGACCATTTACATTTAATTTGATATTGATATGATTGTGTAAATTTATCCCATTTCTATTATATATATTCTATTTATCTATGTTTTCTTTTTCCTCCTTTTTGCCTTTTATTGGGTATAGTTTTTGTTACTTTTTTTCAATCCTGCTCCTTCTGAATAGTGTTTTTCATTTTTTTTTTTGTTTGCTTATTGGATATTCCTCTTTTTGTTATGTTAGTGGTTGCTTTAAGGTGGGGGTTGGCAAACTATGGCCTCCAGGCAAAATCTAGCCAGCCATCTGCTTTTGTATGGTTATGAGCTAAGAATGGTCTTTACATTTTTAAACAGTTTCTAAAAATCAAAAGAAGGATAATGTTATATGGCAAGTGAAAATATATAAAATTCATATTTCAAGCTCCATAAATAAAGTTCTTTTGGAATGCAAGCAAGCTCATTCATTTACATACTGACACAGCAGAGTCGAGTAGTCAAAATAAACCATTTGACTGCTGGGCTTAGTGGCTGACGCCTGTAATCCCAGCACATTGGGAGGCCGAGGCGGGCAGATCACGAGGTCAGGAGATCGAGACCATCCTGGCTAACACGGTGAAACCCTGTCTCTACTAAAAATGCAAACAATTAGCCGGGCATCGTGGCAGGCGCCTGTAGT